TCTTCCTGTCTGCTGTCCTTCATTTAACCTTTTTAGCTCTCTTCTGGCGACCTTCCCTATCACATCCGGTCAGTGCACAGCTGCTCCTTGCTAGACGTTCAGCTGTCACGTACTCGTCTGTGCCACCTAATTAATTGCAGTTCGGCTCGCTCACTGGCTTCTCCCGGCTCAGGCTTTCTTAGTTATATTCCATTAGCAACCCAGCACGATTTGATTACCTGCGCGTAGATGCGTCTTAGCCACTTATGCTCTGAACCATTTAATAACCTCATTGTATGCTTGCGCTTTTCCCGTTTACTATCCTTCCATCATGAAACTTTCTTAGCTTTCTTCTGTCGTGCAAGCATGTCCATGTAATCAGCGCAATCCTCTGTTTTGCCTCACATTCCTTGATGTTCAGACAAATCGACACTGACGTTGACCACGCGAAGTTAGAGACTGTGCGTTTTCGTCTTTTTGTTGCTTATTTTGACATATAGCTACTACTCATTAGAGTAGTTAGGCGCTTTGCCTCGATATTTTGAAGTGCTATACTTTAAGGTTCTTAGACCCTATATACAGCAAAACAGTGTTCCTGGAACACGAATTATGAAGCTGTGCTATTCCGTTATGACTAACAAAAAGGGAATATAAGGTAAAGCCGCCCGAGCCGAAATCCGGGGCAAACGTAGAAGTACTCATTCGAACACCGAAGTTTCTGTCGATCACAGCTCTGCCTCATGCACCGCAAGTGCGGTTAAGGCAACCAAACGTCCTGCTGCAAAAGACAACCTGAATAAACTGCGCCCCTGCAGTGTTCTTCTTATAGACCCCCTGAAAGATGCACTTAACAAAATCAGTGTCCTCTCAACTGAAATGGATGCGCATAAAAAGGAAATGGCCGTTTCCAAAACAGAGCTAGCAAAAGTTATGCCATTGGCCCAACTCGCAAAAATAAGGAAAAATGGCAACGTTGATGAGCTCAAAGATGCCGGCGCCCTTCTTACTACCATCTTTACTGAGATAAACGAGCGCACCCGCCGGGCACGAAACGTGATCGTCTTCAACGTTCCTGACAAATTTCCTTTGGAGAAAGTCACCCGCCTACTTACGTCCATGTGTAACATCTCTCCTGACATGTGCGTGAGTAAGCGGCTCAGAAAATCAAAGATCAGTAGCAACATCCCTATACTTATCGCCTTCAAAACTCCAGAACTGGCTACACGCTTCATAGCAAATCGATTTACCTTACGAACAAACGCAAACATTGGGCCCATTCTTATCAAGCCTGACCTAACGCCGTTGCAAAGAGCTTTTCTACCGGATACTAATACCAAAGTAAGAAAACAGCCTCATGATTCCTCGCCGATCGCCAGAGCTACCGCTTGCTCTACGACAAGCACTCACTTGGCTCTGGACCTAACCACCTGCGTCACGCGTCCACGACAGTATTACATACCGAATCAATCCCACAGCCCTAATAGATAAAAAGTCAACCAACGTTCCAGGCTCGCCCCAGCTAACGATACAAAAAGCTGAGTCAATGCATAACGCCTCCGACATGAGTGACACCGATTCCGAATCTATCACTGTAGACTTCCCGATGATCAACTCCATTCCCTCCCCCTGGTGCAAAGCCGTAACCACCCTCGCAACACGACCGACTACCAACAAAGGTCAACCGCTGAAACACGGCACGCCTCGTAATGGGATGCACTCCCTGGTGATGCATCACTATAACAAAGATAACCGTACCCAAGCCATGCCCTCATGGCGCAAACGGACAGCTGATAAGCCCAAATTAAAATTTGTACCAATGAATCGCGTGAGACCGAAATCCCTCCGATCCCAAACGCCGCCCCACACGCAGGTTTCGACCCAACCCGCCCAATCACTGCGCAAGCCCTACCTACTCGAGGCGCCCAACAATGCTATTAAGCCCCAGAAATATAACAAATGCCATGGCTTTCAAAAACTCTGGACGTTCTACTAGTCACCACAACAAAATGGAACTATGAGCAGCCCGCGCAGAATCAACGCAGTGATTCTCCTAATAACTAACTATCCGCCCGGTACGCTATTGCCCAGTCGGCCCTACAAAAAGGGCTATGAAATCCAAAGATCAAATGCACAACCCCGTTACCAATCCCCACAACCCCTCGAAACAGCGGGGAACAAAGCACACTCCCAAGGACGAAGCCCTTCTGAAAATCTCTACCGCTCCATGAACACTACCCCGCACTCCCTGACCATACGTTCTCCTGAACGAAAAATATATCCGGATTATAAGCACTACAACCGGGCCATGCCATCACCGGCCCCACTTTTATGCGATGCAGCAGGACACGACCCACCTCGCCCATTCCACCAATTCTCGCCAGCTCTCTATTACCTCCAACAACTCATATGCTCACTGCAACTAACCCCCACGGTTGGCTTCAGCCCTCCGGTTAGGTTCTGCAGTCAATAATATTACGACAGTCTCATTAGCGGCCGACTACCATCAGCTACCTACTCATTCACTTCCTAATCATATTCCTATATCACCCTCTCCACCATTTCTTACCACTTCCATGTACCCTGCGCCAGTTGCACCTTATTGTGCAACTTACCTCACACAATCTAACTCCTTCAAACCTCCTTGCATTGAATCATACAGTATGCTGCTAACTAATGCGCGATCTATTACACACAAGATGTACCCTTTGGCCCATTTATCCTACTCTCATACCCACAGCTGGTTCTCAGCGCAGAAACGTGGCACCCCTCAAATGCCTCCGACAGCCTACTACGCCTCACTGGCTGCACCACGTTCTGTAACGCACGAGACAACCAGCGGGGTGGCGGTTGCCTTATCTATGTCCGGGACGACTTTGGTGCACCCGACTTCGAACTGATATCTACTGGTGACCCTGAGGACTCCATCTGGATCCAGACGACAGGAGGTCAACTTGACCTCCAC